TGAGAGAGGATCTGTGTGTGTGTGTGTTTGAGGGAGGAGTGTGTGTGGGTGTGTGGGAGAGAGAGAGTGTGTATGTGTGTGCATGTGCGTGTAGGAGAGACAGAGCGTGCGTGTGTGTGTGTGCGTGTGTGTGTGGAGAGAGAGAGAGACCTGTTTGAGAGTGTGTATATGTATGCGTGTGTGTGCATGTGTGGGAGAGAGTTTGTATGTGTGTGTGTTTGTGTCTGTGTGTTTGTGAGTGTGGAGACAGTGTGTGTGTGTGTTTGTGTATGTGTGGACATAGAGAGTGTGTGTGTGGAGAGGAGTGCGTGTGTGTTTGTGTGTGTGCGTTTGTGTGTGGTCAGAGAATGTGTTTATGTGTGTGTAAAAGAGTGTGTGTGTGGAGAGAGTGTGTGTGTGTTTGTGTGTGTGTGTGTGGGAGCAAGTGTGTGTGTGTGTGGGGAGAGAGTGTGTGCGTGTTTGTGTACACGCGTGTATGTGTGCGTTTGTGTGTGTGGAGAAAGAGTGTGTTTGTGTGTATGTGTTTGTGTGTGTGGAGAGAGACTGTGTGTGTGTATTTGAGTGTGTGTGTTTGTGTGAGTGGAGAGAGAGAGTGTATGTGTGTGTGTGTGAAAAGTGTGTGTTTGTGTGTGCGTTTGTGTGTGTGAGAGTTTTTGTATGTTTAAAGGAGTGAGTGTGTGTGTGTATGCATGTGTTTGTGTGCGTGGAGAGAGTGTGTGTCTGTGTTTGTGTGTGTGGAGAGAGAGAGTGCCTGTGTGTGTGTGTGTGTGTGTGTGTGTGTGTATGTGTTTGTGTGTGTGTGTGTGTTTGTGTGCATGAAGAGAGAGTTTGTGTGTGTGTGTGCATTTGTGTGTGTGTGTGGAGAGAGAGTGCATGTGTGAAGAGTGTGCGTGTATTTGAAAAGACTGTGTGTGAGTGTGTGTTTGTGTGTATGCATGGGATCGAGTGAGTGTGTGTGGGAGAGAGAGTGTGTGTCTGTGTGTGTGTGTTTGTGTGTGTAGAGAGAGTGAATGTCTGTGTATGTGTTTATGAGTATGGAGAGTGTGTATGTGTGTTTGTGTGTGTGGAGAGAGATAGTGTGTTTGTGTGTATGCGTGTCTGTGTATGTGTGTTTGTGTGTGTGAGTGTTTGCGTGTATTTAAGGGAGTGCTTTTGTGTGTATGCAAGTGTGTGTGTGTTTGTGTGTGGAGAGTGTGTGTGTGTGTGTGTGTGTGTTTGTGTGTGTTTGTGTTGTGGAGAGAGAGAGTGCCTGTGTGTGTTTGTGTGTGTGTGTG